CTGACCGAATTACTCGAATAATCCCTGACGAACTCCTTAAATAACCCCTGACCGAGTAACTCAAGAAACCATGACCGAGTAACCCCTAACCGAGTAACTCGAGTAACCTCTATCTGAACCCCTCAAGTAACCCCTGGTCGGGTAACTCGAGTAACTCCATACTGAATAACTCGGATAACCCCTGACAAAAAAAATCGAGTAACCACTAACAAAAAAACTCGGTAACCCCTGCCGTATGGTGTAGCCTGCTGCACCAAAAAGTTGCTGTTAAAAATATGAGGATTATTTTTTGGAGATTTTGAATTAACATTATAATTCGTTATAAAATTTTTTGTAAAAACCATACGTGCACGGGACTTAATCTAATACTAGTCCCAAAAACTAGTTTTTTAGCAAGGGTAAACGAGTATTAGATAAAACAAAGAAATACTCTGTACAACAAAATTCAAACAACTAAGACCCATTTATTTTTATTTTTTATTTTTATTTAAAAGTAGCAAGATAAATCATTAGTTCATTAGATATGACTAAAAAAAATGTTTTTTTATTTTAAAAAAAAAAAAAAAACTTGAATCACACCACCTTTTATATACACTCGAGTGCATATAAAAATAAATCTACCCAAGATAATTTGTTATTAAATGAGCAGAAAATATTGTTGAATGCATCTTACATCCAGTTATATACTTTCTCCGTTTTTTATTAGATGCATCCGGTTATATACTTCAAGTTATTAGCAATAATACTTTGCCTCTCTATTTACACAAGATTATTTTATTTTATTTTATTTATTTATTTTTTGACCTAAACCCCTAAACATATGTCTAAATCAACATCAAGTAAATATTAAAGTACCTTGTTGATAATAATATTTTTGGCATCCAAAATAATACGGAGTATTCTTTTATTATGATACAATATTATGAGAATGATATTGTACGAGATATTTATTGTAATACTAGTAAACTAATATTAAGAGATAAACTCTTTGGTGCTGCCAATTCAGCAAAAATAACGGAGTCTGACGCGCATAATAGAGTCTGACACTCATGCGCAATTTCAAGTAACCCTTATTTCAAGTAACCCTTAATTTCAAGTAACCCCTAATTTTAAGTAGTAACCCCTAATTTCAAGTAACCCATTTTATAATATACCTAAAACATAAGACAAAAACAAGTAACCCATATTATAAGTAGCCCCTAATTTCAAGTAACCCATATTATAAATTTCCCCTAATTTCAAGTAACCAATACTGTTTTGGGGTTTTTGGAGTCCCTCGGGAGAGTTACAATTCCGAGAATGTGCGTCGACCGTCTGTACCTGCAAAACCACGGGAACTCCGGTTGGGTGGAGTTCCGCCTCCGACGATCTAGTTAGAACGTGATAAGTCGTGTTTTGTGTATATTATTTGGTTGGTTTTTAGTTAGTTTTGTTAGTTTAGTTGAGTTTTTGAGTCCGTTTTGGCGTATTTTGCTTTAGTTTGGATAATCCGATGCTTTTATGGGTAGTTTTGTTGTTTTTGATGATTTTCAGGAATAATGGAGCTAATTTGGATGAATTATAGATCCATGAAGTAAGTCAAAGCCCATGGAGTTTGGAGATTGAAGAAAAGTCAAGGAAATGGCATTTTAGAGGTAGGCACGGCCGTGCCTCCCTATTAGGCACGTCCGTGCCTCTGTGCCAGAAGCTGCGCCAAAGGAAGACCCTAGGCACGTCCGTGCCTAGGTAAAGAAGCAGGCACGTCCGTGCCCAGCAGTCAGGCACGTCCGTGCCTGGAAGACAGACTCTGCAGCGTTTTTATTTCTAGAGCAGGCACGTCCGTGCCTATGAAGAGGCACGTCCGTGCCTCCTGGGATTCTTGTGCGCCAAGGCTTGGCCGATTTTCTTATCTTTTTGGGCTTGTATATATATCTTTTTAGCCTTGTTTTTCTTTTTTATCTTTGATTCATTAAGTTTATATTATTTTTCAATTCCTATTATTAAGAACTAGTTCTCTATTTTTTTTATTTTTTTTTTCTCTTTACTTTTGTAATTCAAGATTCAAGCTTTCTCCTTCAATTCAATTCAAGATTCGGTATTTTCTTTTAATCTCTTTATTTATTCATGTTTTCTTTATTATTTATTGTTCTTGTTTTTTTTTGTTAATATGTTAGAGTAGATTGTTGTTCTAGATTTAGGTTGAACCCTAATATGGTTAATACTTGATTTATTCTTTTAAATTCTCAATTAATTATTTATATTGTTCATGCTTAATTGATTGCGCTTATGCCAATACTAGATTAGAGATAATTAGTATTGTTATTATTCCATTGTTTTAATCGCAGCGAGAGTTGGGTTTTAACGGATTTGAATAGATCAATTAAGGGTTTGATATTCATCACGAGAGTAGTTGAATGGATAATTAGGAAATTAGAGTAATGTGCTTAATGTCTCTAATTTGCATGATTCCATGAGAATAGGCTTGATTGTGGGTTAGAGAAGCCATTGATACTCGAGAGAGGTCCTTGGTATTATTTAGGGATTACTTTTCCTTGTGAGCATATAATTAATTGATTGGGGTAGGAATTTATCTTGTATTGATTTTATTAGCGGTAATACTTAATTCTAGAGTCTTTAATATTATTAGATTTATTTTGTTAGTTCATAGTATATATTATTCAACTCGTTATTTTATCTTGATTCGGCTATTGTAATTCATAGAAACCATTGTTTAGTCCAACCTTCTCTGTGGGATCGACCCTGACTTACCCTACTACATATTAGGAGGTTTAGTTAGGTTTTTGTTATTTTTGTTAGGTGTGCGACCGCCTACCAGAACGTATCCAGATGTATAAAAGTGCTAAATGTAAAGGTTTTTCTCTCGGATTCCGAGAGAATTCTGCAATTAATACTGCTCGGATTTTGTGTGTATATTTATGAATATGCAATAAAGGAGGATTTTTCTCTATTTATAGTGTGAGGGGATCAGTTCCCCTTTTATGGGTTGGAGTGCCACGTGTCACCAGAGGATTGGTCCTCTCAGAACCTCTCTGATGTTGACACGTGTCAGCACACGATTGGTCCACGTGGACTGGGTATTTTTACCCTAAACATTTGCCTCTCACAGGTGGCACATGGCACCTGTGACAGGTGTCATGCTCTGAGGAGGTGACGTTTCGTCTCCTTCTCTCTCCTCTTTTTTTTTTTTTTTTTTAATATATTTAATTTGAATTTGGAAGGTGACGGTTCGCCTTCTAGGGTTCTCTATAAGTAGAGACCCCATCCCCTCATTTTCACACTTTGCAATTTTTTGAGAAATTTTTCTGAGAGAAAGAGAGCTCTGATAACGGCTGCTAGTTCTTGCACAACCGTCTTCCTTTTCTTCACTCAACCGGTCACCGTCTGAATGTTCTTCATTCAAAACATATTAAAACCGCCTGAGGGTCTCTTGACATCCTCCTAGCTTTCAATACACTCATAGCCGGTCAACCGTCTGAGGTATCTTCAAGCAAAACTTCAGGGGAACGTCTGGGTTTTCCTCCAATTTTCAGTTGCTCTTCAAGAGGGTACATTCGGGCAACCGTCTGGGTATCTAGCAAGCAACAAAGAGAATTCCGGCTGCTGATCCAAATAGTCAACCTCCTACAAACTCAACTTTTTCGAGGTACCGTTTTTACCCCTTGCAACTTTTTTGAGTTTTTCCGGTTGCATAGCCTGTAAAGAATAATGGATTCACCCAACACACACACGACACAGCCCAGGACAGTTGTCAGCCGGTCACCGGATACGGCTGAGTCTAGGACTGGGGATGCCGTCTGGGGGTGTTTGGACCACCCTTACTCTTCTGCGAATCCGACCGTCTCTGTTCATGTGCAGGACAGAATGTCTCGAACGAGACGGACGGCTGTAGACCCCGAATACCAATCAGACGGCTCAGCCGAATCTCCAGCTGATATTGTACATTATGACTATCCTGGTGTACCTAGCACGCCCAGATTATCACGATAAAGAGGTTGCTTCACCTTCACTAATTGGTTTTAGTATAAAACCTCTTAAGGATGTAAAATGTATTAAAATTAGATATACAATACCAAACATGTGTATGGATTTTTGCATTACGACTACTTCATTTAGAATATGTATGAATGAATATGTATGGGTTGAGATGGATATGGATTTTTGCATTATGACTACCTTATTTTGTAAGGATAATCTCACATATCAAATTATTAAGTGTTACTCTTACTCTATAAGGTGAAGTGTGTTTTAATGACAAAGACTAGAACCAAAAACTAGTTTTTCTGGCAAGGGTAAATGAGTTACTGGATAAAGCAAAAAGAAGTACTTTGTACAAAAAATAATTCAACCAAGACCTATTTTTTTAGTTGCAAGATAGATCATTAGTTCATTAGATCTAACTTAAAAAAATGTTTTATTTTAAAACTCAGATCACAACACTTTTTATATACACCCGGGTGCATATAGAGATAGGGTCTACCTAAGATAGTTTGTTACTTTATTTTAATAAGCAAAACTAAGGTAATGCCAATTCACTTAAAAGATTGAGTCAGGCAAAAACATGCTCTTTCTAAGGAGGTGATTCTAGAAAGAGATTCGAGTAGAGGTAGGTGAATGGTGTAGTTTCACTCTCAAAAGGGCGAGTAAGGGGCCATTAGCGCGCACATAGGGTCTACCTATGGTAGTTTGTTACTTCTTATTAATAAGCTAAAAATACCATTGAATTCACCTTACATCCGAGTATATCGTATATATACTCCCTCTGTTTCGTAATAATCGCAACACTTTCCTTTTATATCCCTTTCATAATAGTTGCAACACTTCCTATTCAGTAAAAATCCACTACTATTTTATTATTTTTCTCCCCTACTTACCCACTTGCATAAATATTTAATTATTTCTCTCTCTTACGAACCCCACTTATACTATTTTTTTTATTATTATTTTTCTCTCCTACTAACAATAAAATATATTCCCACTAACTATACTTTATATTATAAAATTCACCCTATGATTCCTACCCTATAAATTTCCTACAACTTTGTGTACTTGATAAAAAAATCTTGCTTTTATTATTATTATTATCATTTTTTTTTTGTGTTTATAGAGCCATAAGGAATAAAAACGGGTGATAAGAATCGATCTCAAGATTTTTTGATATTGGGAAAAAACTCTAACTACTAGACCTATCCCTGACTCTCTTGATGTATGTGCATTCTACATTGTGCATGATTTTTTTTAGACTCTAGTCCACCACCTTATCCTTTCCTTGTTTATTGAAACTTGAAAGTGGTCAAGAAGGTTTCTTTTTGATGGTCAAGAAACTAAAGTTGATTTAAAAAAAAAAAAAAAAAAAAAAAAAAAAAAAGAAAGAAATTCAACTACGAAGTAGTTCGTACATACTCGTACTTGTGGAAAAAAAAAAAAAAAAAAACAAAAGTTGAGTATCATTTTCTCTCTCCTCTCTGGCTCTCCAGAATTCCAGAAACTCTCCCTCCACAACTAAACAGGGAGCCGTTAACCATAGCCATATCCACACCCTCACTTCAGTCTGATACTCGACGTTTATAGCATCACTCTGATACACTATCTACTAATTTCCATTTTTTTTGGTTAGTATTCTTTTTTCTTGTTATTTTTATTTATTTTTTTATTTTATTTATTTTTTATTTTTTTAAATTGATTGTTATTTTTGTTTTGTTCAATCTTTGCTTCAGAATTCTGAATTTTGCTCATTAATACTTTTAGCAAGAATTTCCTCTTTGGAATTTGTATTGGGTGAGATTAAATAAGATAATTGTTTTGATTGTTAATTAATTGCTGAATTGTTGAGTTTGGTTGTTGATGGGCTTGAACTTTGAACTTGTTTGGGAATTAGGGTTTCAATTTGTTCTTGTATTCTGTTTCTAAAAATTTAATGGATCAGCAGAAAAAAGTTAGGTGAATTAGTAAGTTAATTAGATAAGGCAGTTTGTTAATTATTACAGTACTGTAACAATTACTACCGCTGTTTTTTTTTTTTTTTTTTGGGTAATATAATGGAATTTGACCACTGTTTTTCATAGATATATTGTATACCCTCTTGTTAATTTTGCCTGGTATAAAGTATTCATTAATAATAGTATATAATTAAAAATATATTCAAGTGAGTTCTTGTCAATTTTGCCTAGTTTCAAATACGGAGTACTATTCTGTAACATTGTTATTCATAATTTATTAAATTATGTACTGTAGTATATATTTGAAGATAATAAAGCTCTAACATGTACATTGAATATTTTGCAAAAAGCTAATTAAAATAAAAATAAAACTCCGTAATAATAAGTCGGCGGTATAATATTTTCATCAACTAATTATCTATTTGACTTGGTGATTTTAGAATCTCCCAACTTTTTTTTGGGGAAAATTAAAGTCAGTGTAACAAAGGTAGAATCTACTTTGATTTGGAAGTTTTGGTGAGGAGCATCTATCTATGCCCATGGAAGCCAATGGTAACAACTTTAAACACCTTCAAAATTTTCTTGAATTATTAGGTAGAAAACAATAAATTTTGGTGAAACTTATTACAGGGCAAAAAGCTTCGAATCCGGGAGCTAGGCTTGCAAGCCTTTTGACAAAGAGAGAAAAACTTCAAGATGAACTTCGGAATATTGAAAAACAGGTACTCATTCCTGACTGAAATCTGTAATAATGTGCATTCTGTGCATTTGATTTGAAGCTTTTTTGCTTGCATATATGTTGGTAGGTGTTCGAGTTAGAGACCACCTATTTGCAAGATTCAAACCATTTTGGGCATGTTTTGAAAGGCTTTGAAGGGTTCTTAGGTTCATCAAAGTCTGCAACAAAGTACGAATTTAAATGTGTTTTAATGGTTCTGGTTGTTTTTTTTCCTACTAACTTCTTTGTTCATATACAAGTAAAATTTGCTAAGATCTTGCTATGTATCTTGTATGATGAGCAAATTTCCACTTTTTACTTTTCAGAATAATAGGCCATGTGCCCGTGTTTGATAATTTGCTGTGAGTTTTTTCTTACACTTGACCATAATTTGTTGTCATCACATAATTTTTATGCAAGTATTGAGGGGAAAGAAAAATGGATTAAAGAAGGGCAGGATTTTATAGTGTTATCAGGAAGTACATTTTTATATCTGAATTGAATGGTTAAAAAAAAGGAATAAGAGAATAAAACTTTATAGTAGAAGGAAGATGGAAGAGGATACATAGGTTGATCAAATGAGATAAACAATTAGATAGCCGATTTTAGGAGAAAGAATGATATAGAATGTAGATGTCTAAAAGGTGGAGACGTGGAGTACCCCTTGAAAGACTTTTTTCGTGTATTCATGGGCACACACACAATTACTCACACATAGAGGGAAAGTGGAAGAAAGAGTGAGATTCATCCCAACCTTGAGAGGCTTCTTTGCTATTGAAAGTGCAGGTGGTCTAGAAAGCTATTACTTTTGCTTAAACTGTACTACAATATGCTTACACACACATACACACTCTTTCACTAGTGAACATCCTTTATTCCCAACCCATCCCCCCCTCCCCTCCCCTCTCACTAGTGAACATCCTGTATTCCCCCTATTCCTACTCCATCAAGTCCATAACCCATCCCCTCTCCCTTTTTTTTTTACTACATTCAAATACTTAGAATGTGGTTCTGGATTTTGTAACAATTATTTCCTTAATTTGTCTGTAGCTTGAAGAGGCCCAGGAAGTTTCAACCCGAAGATAGAATCTTCTCTTTGTCTTCTGTCACCTCACCTGCTGTATGTAAATTTTTATTTTGCTTATTGTGCAGTGAATAATCGATATTTCCCTGCTGGACAAAGTTTCTTTGTTGATTGCTTAAGTAAGGACTTTTATACTTGTATAAGGGAACATGCTAGTGCAACCTTCACATTCTCATCATGCAAGTAGGGGCTTACTGAATTCCGCTATTTGGATGAAGAGTATCACTAAAGTAGGTCATGTCATTTTGTTCTTAGACATGTGCAGATCAAATTGTAATTACAACTTAACAAACTTACTAACTAATTAGTGAATCCTATGAAATTGCCAATTTTTTCTAGCCGGTCTATTTAGTATTTTAGGTCTCTACTCTCACCAAGGAAGTTGCGAATATCAGGGTTCTCTTAATGGGATATGAGTATTCATTTGTGAGAGCTTGTGCCACGATTTGTGTGGGGTCAGTGATTGCTCTGCAGTCTGATTTGCTCTTACATGAGGGTGATAATATCCTTAGTTATGTATAGGCCTTGATTACCTATGAATAGCTAGTTATGTAAGATCTCAGAAGACAGGGGCTCTACCTGTTGGTCTAATTTCCTTGTGTGCCTGATCAGATTAAACACTGGTGGTCAACAGCTCCAAAATTCCTTTATTATGCATACTTTGTAAGTCAAGTCAGTGTTCATGTTTCTTTCCGACCCATCAAACTGGAGGCTCCTATTTCTTCTCTGTGGCGACCCTTTGCCCTTCAAATACAGGATTCAGATTCAGATTGATATTCTTGTCCATTGAGCTTCTGCTGATGAGTTCATTACCTAGGATACTTTGTAGGTGAAAAAATCATTTATAGTAATCCAAAAAGTGGAGGTTTCTGATTGGAGGAGAGAAATGGGTGATTTTTGCATTGTAGAGCTCAATACAGGTCTTAAGGGTGAAAGGAATCAATAGCTTCCTTGGCAAGAATGGCAAATTATACATCCAGGAGATTAAAAGGTAATAGGTTTGAAACTCAGAGACGAGATGTTACTCTACTCTCTAGGATCAGGAACTTATTTGGAATTTTATTCCTGAGGGCATACCTGAGAAAGATCTAGTTCATGGAAAGTAATATCTTAGATTAACTTATCCAAGGCTCCAAGCTAATCTGTATCAGTGCTCAACTAGATACTTGTAGCTTTAGTGTACTAATATCTAACCAAAATCCTCATCTCTGGATAACAGCTATTGTCTAAGACAGGAGTGATATTGGCAGCAGCCAGCAGGTTGTTAGATACACAAGTAGAACTGTTGATGCTAGTAGCACCAGTAAGGTATAAAATCAGACTCCAGGAAAGGGTTGTAGATGACACCTCTTAGAAGCCCTGAATTTCAAATTTATCTGCAAGTGCCTGTGTTTGAATATTAGTGATCTTCCTATTCATGTTCATTTGCATATTTTGCTTCTTGCCTATTTCACAAAATTAATCCATCTGTATCACACACACTCACTTGTACTGGGTGCTATTCCATTGGAATCTTTAAGAAGTATGTGACATTGTGAGCCATATGTCCTGCCACATCAATGTAATACCTGCTTTTTATATTATATCATTCCTCTTGGTTTGACATAAAATTGTTATTTTACGAGTGGGCGAAAAATGGAAGATTAACTTACCTTTTGTCCTCTGGAAAATTTCTACTTAAGGTACATCATATTCCCGTTGTTTTGTGCTATAAAAATTGAGGGAACTGGATATCACTCATGTCAGCATGGATATAACTAAATTTATTTTCTTCATTAATTAAATTATATAGATTAAGTCCAAACCTTATTCCTTTTTGGTTTATATTTATTGTTCGGAAGGAGCATCTTGTTCACATTTGTCTTTGTTCAGGTTGAAGAGAACGCAGGTGGACGTGATGGTGAGCTTCCACCAAGTTTTAATGCTTTAAATAAAATTTATATGATGTTGGTCTGATGAGTTGACATTCTATTTTTTCAATTTAAACTTCAGATATTGGTCCTGGACGATCGAAGGGTGGAGGCTTACCTACAAATGGACAGTAAGTGTGGTTTCCCATTTGCCTAGAAAGCCAACTATCTGTTTGCATTGAACAATGTCTATCTCAAAATCTCTTTATTGTTACTTGTTTTACTGTTACTATAACTTACAAATTTTCATGACCAGGGGCAAACCAAAGAAGGGAAGGTTGACATCATGAGATGGAATAGGATGTAGGTTGGTAGATGCACAGATTGTGAGATGGAGATGATGCAGTGCCAAGCCCAATTCAAGTTGCCTTTCATGTGACTTGCTTTGACCTTCAAAGTAAGTACCCTATGATGTAAAGTGGTTAAAAAGAGAGAGATGTTCATATGGCAAAAATATATGAGTGATGTTGTTGGGTCGATGACATTCTGTTCATGTGTTGTTGTAACATTATCTTTTGGTAATGAGAAAGCTATTTCTTGTTTTTTTTGTTGTTCAGTGCGTATTTGTTTCCTCTACAGCTTGCAATTGAGTAAAGTTATTTGTTGATTGTTTCTGCTAAAAGTGCTAATTGTGATGATATTGTTTAGAGCATAAGTTGAAAAGGGTCATTTTCAGTATTCCGTAGCACATATGCTTCAATTCCCACTGTCTGTGTGTGTGAGAGAGAGAGAGAGAGAGAGAGAGAGAAGGTGATAGTGTGATCGAGAGAGAGAGAGAGAGAGAGAGAGAGAGAGAGAGAGAGAGAGAAGGTCCGTATTAAGTCATGTTCTCTTGAATCTATTTGAAATTCCATTTGTATGATGTCCACCTCTATCCCGGAAGGTGATAGTGTGATCTTTATTAAGTCATAAATGTCCTTAAACATCCATTTGTACGATGTCCTCCTCAATCCCAGAAGCAATATGTATTGTTCAATTCCTTAGGGGCAAATGTTCAAGTCATGCTTATATGAGCTAGCTTGGTCTTCAGTTGGGCTACTGCTAGAGCTATGGTCTGTTTTAGATGTTTTTATATGAACAATAGTCGAGTTTGTGCTTACTGAGCTATTAGCAAGCAAATTAAGTAAATCACTTTTGATTCAACTCCCCTAGTGACTTATTGTTAGAGATATGTTTAAGAAGACTCATGACAGTATAATGACGAATGATAAATACTCATATTATATTAGACAGAATTAGAATGTTATTGGCGTGCGGTCTCTATATGTTCATATTATGACTAGTCCATTAGTCCGTATACATTCTTGTCCTTGATCTCATTAGTTAGATTTTATCTTCACATTGTTGATGCACACAAGTTCCTCCAGTTAATAAAATGTTGTCACAACATTAATTTTCACATGATGTCAAACCAATATAAATTACAATCACGCAAATTGGCAAATACTGTTGTCACAGCATCAATTTTCACAGCATGTCTAACCAATATAAATTACTGTCACGCCAATTGGCAATTATTAAATTTTAAAGTATGTTCTCTTTATTGTCTAAACACCTAGATATTGCCACATATTATTCTGTTTCATCATGCCGAGTGGTGAATACTGAATGTTATGATTGAAAATATCAACAAGGGTTCAGATCCACTACTCTGACAGTAAGGACGCCTCCTTGAGATCTTTCAAGGGTTATGATTCATGGTCGTACTCATGAGATGGTGAGACCTCTTCATGCTCAATAGTATAGGTTGCCAAAAACAAGGGGCAGGCCTCCTGGAGTTGAAAACTTGAAATAATTATCTGTAATACTGTAGCTGGGAGGCACCGGCAAAGCCAATTTTCTAGACGTTTCTTGGGGTTTGATAGGAAACACTGATAATACTTTTGAGGAAGGGGGAAGTCTTTTGGTGTTCCTTATCACCTGGTCCTAATCTTTTTATTAAATATGTGGGTTTATTAGCCCCCACCCCTCGTGCATTTGTCACAGTGTGTTGTGCTGAGAGACCACCCATTCCAGATAGAAACCCAATTAGAAAATCTGTTAGGAATTTGTGGGAAGACATCAATATAGCCTCCCCAGTCATATTAAACTTTGAAAGAGTTAGTAGGGAAGACTTTGAATTTGCCTACCCAGGTCATTTTCTTCTAGCTACTGTACATTCATGGTGGATACAATTATATGTTATCTAGATTTGGTGGTAATATGTCACTTATAGATGAATATGAACACAGAGAAAACATACTATGTACTGATGTCAGGGGAAAGTGTCTCCAATTACACTGAAATAGAGATGATGTGAAATCATATGGTCTTGATTATGTTTAGTGACTTTATTAGACTTGTTATATTATTAATCAGTTTGTGGAATTTAGATGGGGATATAGTTTGTTGATGACATAACTGAAGCATTGAATATATATATATATATATATAAGAACCTCTTCAGCATAGTGCTACGATATTAGTAATGGGGAAGTCGGCCTTTTACCCTCCTATCATTTATATTTTATCTACTTCTATCAGAATGAGACTGTCATTGCACGGAATTGTTTTTAATCTTTGGTTAATTTATGATCTTTTGGCTAATTTTCTGATTTTTAATGTTTCCTTTGACAAACTTCTCTACTGGTTTGAGTAAGAAGTTGCATGTTCTGGCATACTTAATTAGCGGGTAAAGATGTTCAAGTCGAGTGCTTAATTGCTTAAATTATGAGTGATGCTTGCCAATTGTTGGGTCCAAGATATACTGATTTTGTCAATAGTTTGGTTGATCATCAGTCCATGTTATTTAATTCTGTTTAGTTGATAATTAAAGATGGCATTTGAAGTCTGAAAGAGTTGCATGGCCCTTTATTGTCATCAAGGTGTAACAAGTAGATTGCTTGGTGATAGATTTACAGAAAAGAATAGTATGAGCACGCGATTCACTCCCTAGCATCTTGTCTGATTGTGGGGTATGTGTCTCATACTCGAGCAGTTATGTTGCTCGTATGCGATGCTATTTTACGGAAAAAAAATTCCATGTTTTTGGTCCAAAATGAATTGTAAGTGCCCATACACTCATGTCAGAGAATAAGGGGATTCGACAGTTACTTGAGGTGAAAGGAAGAATCCGAGTAATATAAGTGTTGAATGATATACCGTGTAGATGTTGACACAATACTTCAACTAGCCAAAGAGTACATTTTCTGTACTTTGCTGATCTGGTTTCCTTTACAAGTAATAATTGTTAGATATTTCTGATTAACAAGTGTGTTTACAGTACATCCTAATTTAAGTTTGCTTTGTTGACTTATCTCCCCTTGATGTTCATAATGTAATCAAACTTTTGACTTTGTCATCGCCTTTAGTTATAGTTGATTCATTCTCAATTATGGTTGTGTTTCTTTCCTTCTGGCTTCGAACGCGCCTTCGAATCGTTGCGTCTGAAATCACTATGCGACCTTTTCTGGAGCAGGTGAATATATCTTTTGTTTGGTGTCTTGTTGCTTCAAGTTGCAGGATAATTACGTTATTTTGATTCATTAAATACATTCAATTTGTGGTAGCATTGTCAATTTGTAGTATTGTACTTGGTAATTTAATTAGTTTTAGCTGATTTTTTTTAATGTATTGGTTATCTTTTTCGAGCATAATAGTGTGATGTTCAGAGAATTCGGCTGTTTCAACCAAGAGAGTGGGATAAAACACACTTCGTGCATTTTTGTATTATTATTATGATTGGAGGACAAAATTTGAGGAGCCCATTAGGGTGGATACTGAGCGAAACTTGACCTTGGTGATGCATAACTTGGTGCCGGTACCATTGTGTTGGGTTTGGAGGTAAAGCCTCACTGTGCAATGTGCCAGGTAGCCCAATCCAATAAAGGAATAATACTTATGGCCATACGGAAGCCAGACATTGATGTAGACGGGAATTCTGGGTATCACCTCTAAAACTTTAACCAACAAAATTAAATGATGGCCCAAATAATTCTTGTTGTTTTACCATTACACAAAATCCTAAAATAGGCGGAGTGGATTGAAACCTTACCGTCCAGAATTAAAGTTCAAATTCAGATTTGGTCAAATGGTGGAAGCACAAAAAAAAAAGGTATGTATTTCATTTACTAATGTTGTTACTCGTATAATGGAATTCATTTTCAAATATTCTGTATCTTTCATCTTTTAAGACTTCACCTTAAACTGAGAGAAAAAATAAATAAATAAATAAATAAATAAAATAAAAAACCTACCTATGGTAATTAATAATTGGTAAGTTCATAGTAAAATATTAGGTTAGTCCCATACGATGCACGATTTTAGCAATAAAATTGTTGCTCTTATGTGCGTAATATAAATAATCTAAGAATAACATAGTAAATAATGATCTCTCTTGTTAGATGAATTAAGCTAATAAAATGATGTTAAATATTCTAAAAAACTTCATGATTAAAATAAAATAAATGAAATGTTAGCATTATATCAGCTTAGTTGTTTTGTTTGATTATAAAAAAATTTAAAGAATTACTAAAGGGTAGAAAATTCAAACTCATACCATCATTGATAAAAAAAAAAAAAAAAAAAAGTCTATATAGGAAAGAAGGAAAACGACATAGTATAGATCAACCATCAATATTTTTTGTAATCAGTAAATTTAGTCATAAAAGTTTTTGGGAAAATGTATAATTAATCTAGTGATCTTGAAACACTAACTTTATCTTGAAATGGAGAAAAAAACAAATGATGTTATTTAAAATTTTGGAGGGAAATTTTTAAATAAGAAGCTGATACATGGCAGTACTGATGTCAGTGGTAATTACTTTAGTATTAGTTATAGATATGCGGAAAATACAAAACCATTTGTCTTGTATAAGATAAAATTTCGTTATTTTATTGAAAGACGGTCAATATGAGGGTATTTTTTAACAATTTTTATGGTAATTTTAACACATTTAAGGGTAACTTTTAATTTGTGATAATGTGTATTTTTAATGGATACATGTTATAGAGGCTTATATGATTGATTTAATACATTAGCAACAAAAGATTGGATCTTTATTTTCTTTGGGATGGCAAACAATTCACCTATAAACCCAAAAGTTTGAAATAATTGGTCAACTTTGTTGCTAAAAATGAGTATATACCCCTCCATCCTCCTATAAAGTTTGAGGCAACTTTTTGTGGTTTAAAGTGTGACAAGATTTTAGATGTTTATCTTCTTAAAGTTTTTTTTACCAACCATATCTTTTGATCTTGAATTACAAGGACCTCTTGTTTTGCTACTTAAGTCTATGACAAATTAACAATATGCATCACGTTTATGAGTTAGCATCTAATATGTCAATTTTTCCTTTCCTCTTTTGGAAACATTGTACTATATGTATGAATGTATTACTCGTATTCCATTTGTCAAATAATATGAAACAGAAGAAGTAAAATCTTAACTTAATGATGATTATTTTAATTTTGTATGTTAACATGTAAATTTAAATTTTCTCTTACATCAAATGATCTAAACTTTATACTAGTCTTTCTACTAATATAAGCTAATGTCAAGTAAGTGCATAT